ACAGCAAAACAATTAAGTACTGCACTGCCTTACCGTAACTTAGTGTAACACTGTTATTTATAAAAGAGAAGCTGTAACTAACACAGTTCTTGAAATTAAAGCAATATATAAGGTTTGTTTTTTTTATTTTTTGATTTTTATGTCCTTTTATATACTACAGTTGAAAATGCAGACAGGTCCAATACTTTCTTACTCCTGGTTCGTCACAATCTGCTAGATGACCTTCAGTTTCACCTTTTTTTTAACTTTGGCTATAACTGGAGCCTGTAGCCTGTGCTCTTTATTCATTTGTATTTGGCAGTACATTGAARTACATTTGGCATTGTTATTAAACATCCAACAATTATTATAATCGGACCTACCACTTTAAAAGCTATGTTTTTTTTTTTCTTATAGACACTAACTGCTTATTTGAAGTGGTGTATTTTATTTCTTCAGAGGCAGGCTTTTGGATCACTTATTTGTCATAATTTGGGAAAGTGGCATGACCTTACTTCTCCCTTTTCTGAGCTTTCCAAAACTGTGTGCACAATGAAAAGAAATATAAAATTTTGTAAAATTTAATACTATATATTGGACTTAGTATGATTATTAGTCTTTGGAATATGCAGGGATATATATACGGGAACAGTAGGGATATATTACTTAGCTTCTTCACTCGAAGACCAGAATTTGCCTCTCATCTTTCTTCATATCCTCTTTCTGTTTTACTATAAGCATCCATATCCCATCCTGGCTTATTCTCCTTGACTCTCATTTATTTTCCCTAATGCTGTTACCAAAATGTGTTGTGTGAGATGATATGATCAGTAACACTGATGAAATCTGTAAATACATACACACATGAAAACTGCTGAATGCTTATATACTTCCCATTTAAAAGTAGTGGAATTACACTGCAGCTGTGGATCCCAGCTACATGGTGGCAGGAGCAAAGTAAAGTCATAAAAGTAAAGTATTCCTGGAAGCGACATTGAAAAGGTCCATCCTACACCAGTTTGAATGTTTGTAACACCTACTGGCTGCTAGGATGATAAGATTTGGGCTTAAACTTGATCTACTTTCTTCTGCARAAGATAAAATGAAGAAGATGACTTGGAAGGATTGCTCCAAAGAGCAGTCATCAAACCCAAAATATAYGGCTAATCTGAAAAACTCATGGTATTAAATGTACTGAGAATAAGTGAAACCACAACATAGGGCCTTAAATTCCTCACATTGGCTGCATGAAACCTTAGAGAACTAAGAATAAAAAGACCAAGGGTCGACACATGCTCTTACACACAAAAAGGCAAAAATGGATCCTCTTTCACAATTGCCCATTTGCGTTCCTAAGACTCCATAATTTTCCTTATGATTCCCATTTCCAAATAGGAAAGGGACCCTGTAGGGCACTGTATATATATACAGGCACACAGTTTTCAAATAATTCCCTCCGATCTACAGAGCTGTAAATAATTCTTCACAAGAGGCCATGCAATTTATAGACTCGACTTAATTGTGGCTACATGACAACTTAAAAACTTCCAGTACTCTCAATAACTGTCTGTGTTTGTTTGTTTTAATGTGAAGCGGCTGAAGACAGACATGTTGCAAGAATGCCCCAAAGCAGCAATTTCTCCACACATGCAGAGGTGAAAAATACAGTGAAATTCCCTTAGCACCCATAGAAGAGCATGACCTGAAACCTTCTAGTTAAATGTCTGTTTTGAAATCTCAACGCATCCTCTGAGCCTCTCTGTTTTGAAAGGACAGATACTCAAGTTAAAGTTACTGTTACTAGGCAGATATCAAAGGAATATTTTCAAGCCTTTAAGTTTTATTCAGTGCTTCTAAGTAAATTAGGAATGAAGGAGTAGATACTCAAGATTTTTATTATTACACCTTTTATCATCTTTTCACATAGCTCCTTCCCTCACCCCAAATTAAAGGCAGGTTATTTTAAAGAACCTCCAGCAATGTTTTTTTTCTAACTTAGGGTTATAGTTATTCAATGTTTCAAACAACTGTGAAGTGCAGAAAATGGAAGCAAGCAGTTAAATCTTAGCAGATTTTCAAGTATGTTTTCTCTACTTAGAATACTTACAGAGATATCTAGCTATTTTTCCCACCTGAAATGGCAATAGGTGCTATAAAGTAGGGCCTGTCACAAAATCCACGTGGACAGCATTAGCAGAAAGATACCTGCTGTACTCAGTGATTTCAGCATAAGGAAATCTGCAAGCATTCCTGAGATTCCTCACACTTTTAAGCAGGTGGCAGTGTAGGTTAAAGAGACATAGACTTTTCCTGGAACTGACAGAAATTGTTTTCCAATTTTTCCATCTATCTTAACCAAAAGTAGTAATTTATAGCAGTGTTATTGAGCTTCTACCTAGCCAAGGACTGGAAGAAATTTTGAAAGTGTCTTTGTTTTAGTGAAAAGGGACTCAAAATTATTCTATTATTTACAGACGTAGCTTTGTGAGTCGTATTTCTGAGTATGAGATGCTGCAGTGAGAAGCATAACTCTCCTCTTTAATACTATTTTAGAATGAGGAATTATTTCTAAAGAGATGAGAGGAGGTCACGGTGCAGTGATTCAGCATAAACTCTAGGTATGTACTGTTAAACAGTGATAGCTGAGTGCAAACTCCCTAGCCTTTCTTCTCTTGGACCTTCCGTTATGCTGCTGACATAGTCTTGGTAGGCAAGGCAATAAGGGATTATGATCTTATGATGTCTTGCATCTGAGATTTTTCTAGTTAATTCAATTTTTGTGTACAAGATGTGTTATTATCTAGCATTTGCATCTATGAATAGTTAGTATATTTTTTTCAARGAAGTCCTGCAGTATTAAACTAAAATAAACAAAATAGAGCAACTCAATTTCATTTAATCAACAGTAAGTGGCTTTGATCTCTTATACGAACAAAACTACTTTTCATAAGCCATTTTTAAAGATTGCTACAAATGTGGTGAGAGTATTTACCATGAGGTGGGTGTTTTTTTGAGAGAGAGAGATAAGAAATAATAGCGTGTGAGAGTGCCTGCATGAATGCTATAGCATTTCATGTTCTCCAAATCTTCCTAGATGAGACTCCCTAGCTGCCCACTTAAAACCGAGCCACCAAAACACTTTGGAGGTTGCATTTTTTTTTGGGCAATGTTTCTGTCAGCTACCACTGTGCACTTTAGATATGGCACATCATCCTGTCTCTTTCCTTGAACACTGCACCTCCATCTCAGTTGCTTGGTTTAAGACTAGTCYCTGTAATGGAGCAATGAAAGCTGTGGGAGCCTCCAGGAGGAAGGACGTGGGACTACTGATGCGGAGAGCAGTAAAACTGCTCCTCATCCCTGCTCCCTCACACATCATCTGTGAGATCTGGTTTCTGTAGCCTTGCTTCAGTTACCTGTCCCTTGGTTCCCTCTGTATAACTGGGGTAGGATACTCTCCTCCTAATGCTCCAGAGTCTGWAGATGGAAATCTCCCCAAGTAACTCCAGTAGCCTTACTCTCCTCTCTACACCTGCGAGTAAGGGAAATAAAAATAAATAGCGGTTGCAAATGAAAATGGAAAATGGAAATTTAATCTGTCCTTCTCACTCCTCCACACGCTGTCCGAAGATGAGTCCTTCCTCCTCTTCCTCCATGAGGAGGTCCTCAGGTTGCAACCTCCGAGACAGGGACCTGCTTGACTAGTGTCATGCAGTGTTGCAGGGAGGAGGCTCCTTCCTCCCTCTCCCCGCTCCTTCTCTCTCCTCTCTCCTCCCCAGGGCCATTGAGGARGTCTCCCCACAGGGCCCACAGCCCATGATGCCATTTCAGTGGGGCAGTGGCATCCCTGTCCCCTCAGAGCTTAGGAGGACAAGGTGKATGGCCATGACCACTGCCATCATCACTGCCAGTCCTCCACTGATCTCCACGCAGACCCAGAGGGCAGGGCAGGCCCTCCCCTCCCCAAAAAGCCTGACACACCCTGATACAACCTGACACGCATACACCCTGACACGCACTCCCCAACACCCCCCCACACCCATAACACATGCATACACCAGCACACACAGGTATCCCTCCACACACGTGCACCTGCACACACACACCCTGACAAACACCCACACGTGCACACCCACAACACACAGCCCTCCCACAACCCACACGCACACAGGTAACCCCCCCTAGGGATACACCCTGCACCACCACTCACACACCCGCACACAAACACCTCACCACCGCACACACGCACACACGCACAWACACACTACCCCACTGTGTAGCTACCCCCCACTACCCCCACTAGCGCTCTTACACACAACCACTCCGCACCACACGTGCACACACACAACCCCCCACACGCACACACACCCCCATACCGCACCCCCTCCCTACACCCCCACCCTACCCCAACACAACCCGCCCCTCCGCGGGGCGCATGCGCAGTCGCGGCGCGGAGCTGTCCGAGCGCTGAATTTATAGCGCGGCCGCCCGCCCCATTCCGGCAGAGGCGCCGGGGCGGCCGCGGCCCCAGCGCCGAGAGACAGGGCGAGGAAGGAGGGAAAAAAAAAAAAAAAAAAAAAAAAAAAAAAAAAAAAAGAGAAAGATCCGCCCAGTAGCCACCCGCAGCACTCACACATATTCTTTTCAAAAGCAAAAGGGGAATCAAACACGCCGGCTGCGGACTGCTCTCAGCGTTGCTCCCTTTTGCACGGTGCTCTTGGGGTAGTAGGGTGTCCTCTCCTTCTTCTTTCCTTTTTTATTTTTATTTTTTTTTTCCCTCCATCATCCAGTAAGAGCGAGGTGGGGGAGGCTGATGCTCTTCCCGTGCAGTGCTGGCTGCTGGAGATGAGCCTAGGGTTGACCTGACCATGATTCCGAGGACTGGCACCTCTCTTCTACCCCCAGCCTGTAGAGATCCAGACCTTCTCTTCCTGTCTTTTCAGAAAAACGAATTACCRCCGAATTCGGGAATCTAGACAGCACCAGCATACTTTCTTCTTTTCCTTCTGTTTTTTTTTTTTCTTTTTCTTTTTTTTTTCCTGCATCTCTCTGGAATTGTTTCTGGGATATTTTCCAAATCATCACAGAAAGCAGGAGGAATGAACCGGCAGCTAGTGAAAATTGTGACAACCTTGTTTGCGTTTTTCTTAGAGACAAACCATTTCAGGTAGGTGATACAACTCTATCTGGTGATATTCATCAAGAGGTTTGGGAACCGTAGCTATTAGGAAGCAGCATCACGTTAGCCTCCTTTCTTTGCTATATTTGAGAGTATTTCATGTTCGTTTCATATAAAATGTCCCTTTTACACTCAGAGAGATTCGTTGCTTGGTAACAAACACACACAAAAAAAATCTCAAGTTTGGATAATCTGTTTTTCAATTCTCTGATTCCAAAACATGCCTTTTCACCAAGTAATAATATAGCTATTTTTTTCTCAATTAAATTTAATCTCTCTGTTCCCACTGAAGATTATTTAGGAAGTTGCTTGAATTCTCTACTATTTGAGCTTTGGGAATGATTAAACTAGTTTTTTTGGGAATGTAATTATTTGAAATAAGAGAACCAGTCCTCTGATTTTGGGAACCCCCTGGATCAGATCAGGATTTATGCTCACTTAAAATATCAATACATGTCCATGTTATTTCTTTTTCTTTTTCTTTTTCTTTTTTTTCAATTTGATGAAATGTTGCTTCAATTATTAACTTTATATAAAGTAAACAGCTTAGACTAAATATCAAAAGCATTGTTTCAGATGAGTTTTAATACTTTATTGTTTAGGACTGTGTATCTATATGTACATACATGTAAAGGGTATTTATATGTGGAATGATGTGTATACTGTGTCAGAGTGCTTATATTCACAAGTTTGGAATCCCCACACAACTTATAACTAGTCGGTTTCTAATTAAAAGAGAAGTAATTTGTATTGGACCATCCCAAATTAGCATAATAGTTTTTCTTCCAGTTTTTATCATCTTAACTCAATATCTGTACTGTCTAAATGCAGAATATATTTTATTACATAGTAAAAAATAAAGGTATTTTCATGGTAGTTTGTCATTGACAAAAGCAAAACGAAGCAGCCACCCTTCCTAAATAGTACTTGAAAGATGGGGGATCACATCACAGAATTTTACTATTACATTGCATTTTAATATTTTTGATGCTTTTATAAAAGAATTAAGCATGTGATTTTCATTTGAATTTCACTTAATCACCTGTATATCTAATTTGCTTATATTTACGCATTGATGCACACATATGCCCATGCACACACACACACACGCAGGCACACATAGAGTAATATTAAAATAGAAGAGCAAGAAATACTCCTGATCCTGAGTGGTTCCTGTTGGGCAAATATTTAAACAGATTAGTGATGCAGAAGATACACTGATAAAATTACTTTCAATAGACCCAGTCATAGAATTATTTTTAATATAGATAAAACATTATGTTGAAAGCTAGAACAGTAAAACTTGTTGTTCAGATATCAATATAAAGAAGTTTTTTATGAAATCCAAGACCTTGTACACAAAATATGTTCTTTCATTCTAATTTCTTCAGGGAACAACCTATGGAAACCCCTACATTCTTTCTCTGTAATATCTAATGTGCTTGCAGTAGCTAACGTGCTATATGCACAAACCTTTATGGCTATTGCATGATGTGAGAAGTTTATTCTTAAAACCTGAAAACAGAGATATATTCTGAAAGCTTACCTACAAATACCAGATAAAGACAATAAAGATTATTTGCATTATGTGATATTTAYTGGTAAAAGATCAGATGCGGTTGATTCTGGAAACTTGTTCACACAGTTGGTGAAGAATTCAGACTTTGACTCACATAATTTATATTTTTATTGGATGGCATTTGCAAAGAATAGCACTCATATCCATATCCTTCCTAATATTAAAAAAATTAARAATTTTTACAGTTACTTGGTGAGTTCTGCCTGCCATTGTCTGAAAGTTTAAGGACACTTTAAATTGGGTTTCTAATAAATATAGTTTGAACAGCAGATACATAAATCAAACAACAATATGACATAGGATGTCAAAGTCCCTATAGGGTTGCTTTATATTTTAAGATAAMGAGCAAACCGAATCTTTTCATGTTCTATAGATGCAATGTATTTCTGTTTAAAGCTGAGTTTTTCTGAATAGCAAAATATGTGTTCTGTGTCTACTGCTTGCAGCTTATTTTTATTTCTAATAAAAATTTTCTAGTGAAAAATAAGTAATTTTCTATGCAAATATTTATTATTACATTCACTGAAAAGAGATCATTTTATTTAAAATGACTTAATTTCCCCATGAATTGAAGGTGATACAACTAAATAGTAGCTAATGGTGGCTAATAATTTATTTAGGACGACTTTCTGTAAAGAACATGATTCAAGATCTGGAAAATCCCCCTCACAGACCCTGTCTCCTTCAGACTTTTTGGACAAATTGATGGGAAGGACATCGGGGTATGATGCTAGAATCAGACCAAATTTTAAAGGTAAGTTTCTTTAAGACTGCTGATAAATTAATTGTTAACCTCTTAGATAAGTAATGTTTTCGAGAGTTTTAGCTCTGGGTTCTGATTCTATTTTCTGTAACTTTTCTGGTGTGATAAATTCAAGCATATCAGTTGTTTCATGGGAAGAACTGAGAGCAGTGTAGGAAATAAGGGTTTAGAGCTTTAGAGTCTTTTTTTTTTCCTCAAATTTCTGTGTGCACAATAATAATGCTTTGTTAGAGGTTGTTTCTGAAGACCTTCAGATTTATAGAGGATTTCAGATTCTACAATAAAAGCAATTGAACGACTGGTTATTGAAATTTTTTGAGCCATGCAACCACTTATTCAGTACTTCAGTGCTGAAGTACTGTTTTCTTTAAAGCGGGGTCTGAATGAAAGATATTACATTTGACTGGAAGAAAGTAAAACCTTCTCACTTACAAAGAGGAGGTAGGAGAGATTATTGATGCAGCAGTCTTTACCCTTTTAATATTAAATGATAAGGACCAAATTCTCAGGACCACCATGAACTTGTAAAACCATATTTCACTTGTCCCCTTAAAGACTTCCTTTTCCTCTCCCCAAATCTGGCCTAAGGGAGAGAGGAGTTCTTCCAATCCTTCCAATACAAGCAAGCCTCTTGGTAGGCTGCAGCCCTCTTCCTCAACCATTACTATTTGGAGCAAATTTCTATTGCTGTTATCCTTTAAACTCCTGTGGAAGTGAGCACAGAATATTTTGTGGGTACAGTTGAAAAGTACCTGGAAAGAAGTATTCACTGTAAATATTTAGGAGTTTTGGAGAGCTCTACAGTTCTACCAAAACTGACCCTTTTATGTCAATTCAAAGCTCAGAAAGCAGTCTTACTTTGAAAAGGTATAAAATAAGAAATCTCCTTCCCCAACATTAAATGCCAGTTTACATTTCAATTAAAATCTATTGGCTTTGTGGCCAAAACTGCACTTTTTAATATTTTGACCCTTTTTAATTGGGCAATGGAAGTTGATAATATGAGTGGAGCAAATGACAGTATTTTAGCCTGTGAATACAACTGGTAGAAAAGAAGGAGCTCACAGGCCAATGAGTAAAGTAATTAAATTTCCAATAAGTTTCTTCCCTCTGTTCCATATGTAAGAATTGCAAAATTTGGAACATTCAGGTAACCCTAAAATATCAATTTTAGAATAGTTTTTGAGGTTTTTTAAACTTCCTTGGTTAGAATTAACATTAATTTATTGTAAAAAATATTGTATTAGGTTCTCACATTCATTTTGTGCACTTGCATGAGCATCAGTGAAGCTTTTGTGAATGCAAATGAWGGCAGAAATTGTCCTGCATTAATCAAGGTACCATTTGTTAAAAAGTTAATCTTCCTGTGCTTTATATGTGACGGGACAATAAAAGAGGTCTGTTTCATCCCTTGTAGCTCAGATAAAATGAGGAAATGTAGTGGCTCCTGTATATAAGAAAATATAAAGATAGCTCCTTTATTGCTCTTCAGAGCATGTCTAAAACCATTTTGTGAAAAAGGCAGAAAACAGTTTTATATTTTGTTCATCTGATGCTCAGGTGGGCAGAGCAGAGACAGTGTGCATGGTGCTGCACTACTGAACTACTACACATGCTGAATTACTTGACAGACATTGCTCCCCTCTAAGTCTCATGGCTTTTTCCTTCTTCCAGCATGAAGACTTTACCTGATGACACTCGTGAGACATTGATGGTGATGAATCTTACGTCTCATTTTTTTTTCTGTTTTAAGAAATCACCTTCAAAAGCAGATTGGCCTGCAGCAATTTGAAATTATAAACATGTTTTTAGGTTTGGGGTGTTTTTTTCATTCTTTTTTCCAGAATTTTGCAATCTTTGAACTCTCTCTGAGCTCTCAGTACTGTAGCAAAACTTTTGAAAGGTTTCCTTGTGTCCCTCTGAAGGATATTTGTACCTCAGAGTTCCAAAATAGACAGTTAAGATGTGGTTTGGAACTTCACACCAGCGAAAACTTTTTTAGTTGATAATTATTCTTATTAGTCAGTATTGTACCTATTTCATGATCTAGTTGCCTTAGTCATTAAAATTTTTTAAATAAATTGGAAGTACTGTTGTTTTAATAATATTCTATATTTTCTTGTAAAGAATAATAACTGTAGATGCAAAGAGATCATAGTAAACTTATCTTACATGGAATTAAGTATTATAATTTTTTTTTTCACTGAGACTTTATTGTAGCCATAAGACAAATTCTTTCAGTTTATAACACTTTTTAAACTGCTCAAGATCTTTTTGGGTGATATGGTTTATTGAATGAAATTGATATTCCAAATCACATAACTGTATTGATAGATAAAATGTTAAATGATTACTTGATTTATAGCACTTATTTTTGTGTGTTTTTAAGCAATATATAGAATAATTTTTTTAAACATAGAAGAAGTTTAAAGGAAGAGTGTCTTAAAATAGGGATGTGTATATGTTTTTGGATAGTTTTAGATTAATATTTGTTTCCTATAAGGACATTTAGAGGATATAAAAGACTTTGTGAATCAAGATACCACTCATTCATTTAACTTTTCCTCTTTCAAATCATTTACATAAGTTTACCCTAGAACACCATAGTCATTTTAAAGTCTCCAGAAAAAAATAGTCTAATGTTCCTGAAAAACAATTGAATAGAATGCATTGTTTAACATCACTAATTATACAATAAATACATTTTCTATACTTTTCTGAATTACTGAGAAACAGCAGTTATTTGGTTAATTTTTAAAACAAAGGCAACATATTTTAAAAAGAGAGGAAAATATTACTGGGACACAGCCTTTTATCCAGATAAACACATTTCATCATTAGTTACTGCTTTTTACTAACTGGCTCCTGTGAATTASAACATTCAGGAAGACAGACAGGAGCAACAGGTGAATATATAAATGTTTAGACATCAGCAAATTAGTGCTTAGCTCTTTTTTTTTTTTTTTTTTTCCCAGCAGTGCTGTACAATAAAAGTCCTCTCTTTCAATGTCTTTCTGCCTTATAACATCATATGAAAAACAAAAGGGAAGATTCCTGATTCTTGTTGGTACAATAAGTGATGAAACACCACCAGGTGCTGAGGGAGACTGCCCTCTTGATGGATAGCTAGAGAGAAGCACGAGAGTGGCAGGTCTCAGAATAACCTTTCTTTTAACTACTTTCTGACAGATATTTATTGGAGACTTTTTCATCTTACGCTTATCTTTTATTGAAGTTGAATAGCCTAATAATTTATGTAAGGGCATAGAAGAAAATACTTCCAAATGTAAATATGAAGACTACAGTTGAATACTAACTGAAGTCTCTGAGGATCCTTCTGTTGACAGGAAACAGTCAGTTGGGACCCTATGAGTTGATTCACCACTTCTTTTTTAGTTATAACATCATTTAAACCTGTTTGCTGTCATTTATTTTCTGAATAATGCTAACACCCTTTTTTAAAAGATTAAAAATAGAAATAGAGAGAGATCAGACTGAAGGCTGATCCTTTCTCTATTATTCACTTTTTATTCAGCAAAAACATAAATGACAGTGTAGAGCATCTGTGTTATAACACTAACCAAGGATGTGCTTTCTAGATTGTAGAAATCAGAAATCAGAGATGGAGAAATGGTATCACAGATTACATTTACTTAAGGCACTCGCAAGAGTGCTATGTGCAGTGCCATGATGTAATGATATAATCTACAACATAATCACAACGTGAAATGAAGGACTGATGCAAAGTCAGCTTGATTTAAAATTTCTAGAAGTTTTTGACCTTTAAAGAAGACTAAATTATTTCCATTTTTTTAATACTTTCTTCTCCTAAAACCAGTTAAGGCCTAAATATAAGCTAGAAATAATCAGATACAAAACAAAAAGAAAAAACACACAAAACCCCCACAACTGTTTATCTGTGAAAATTACTATGATCTTTATGCCAAATACATTAAGAAATGTATTGGCCGTCATACTCTTGACAGAAAGCAGGAAAGTTTGGCTCACCAAAACTCCAGAAATGTGTTATCTTTACAAGGTTATRCTTAAAAGGCTAGCAGTGAAGATATTTGTGATTCTCTTCTGCACTGAACTTCATTCTATATTTTAAGGTTATTCATTTCAACTTAGTTATTATTTGATAAGAAAAATTTTGATTTTTATGCTGTCAAATGTAGGTGTCAAGCAACAATTCCCATCAATGTTACCTTTGTTATTGGATATTGCAATGTAGTTCCTACAACTTAACCTGAACTAACTGGCTCAAAAACTGTTGTTTCTGATCTCTGTTGAGTCTTGTTGGAGGAATGCAGTTTGTGTACATATTGGCTGTAGTTGTAAAAGATGAGTCTGTGATTACAGTGGTGTAATGTCATTTTCATGGCAAGTCAGTGGGTTTACATCTGAATAATAAACACACGGACTAAATCATTTATTGAAAATTACCCTGACAACTGCTACAGGAAATGGCTTATGTACTTTAATACTTTAACTCCTAGGTACCAAGAGTCATTTTTTCCCATATGTTCAAGCCCGTTGCTTACTTATTTGGTCCTTGAATTGACCAGCAAGGAAGTGCTTAAAAAAAAAAAAAAAAARAAATCTTCTTATCTTTCTTTGCTTTCAGTTTCTCTTCCAGGAGGCTGGGGGAGTTGAATGTGTTGCAGTTACATTACATCTAGACTTTACAAAAAAGGAGTGAAACAGCAAGCTCAAGCAGAACCCTTGGCTATCTGTACTGCTTAACTGTTAGTTCATTCCTCATATCCTCGAGCTTCCTGCAGTCCTCCAAAACAAGTCAGGAAGGGTGTGAGCATTCAGCAGTATGAATACAGGCCCACCAATGCCACATGACCTCAAGGCCATGAATCTGTCCCTGGCCTTCTGTTATTTAAAAGGATAGTGATGGTGATCCTATCATATTGGTGTATTGTCTTTATTCAGAATCGGTGACTTAATTAAGAGATATTAATG